CGGCCACGGCAGCCGCTGCCGCCCATCAACGTGCCGGGCATGGTCCTGTACTCCGACGACGACGACAGCGAGGAGATAGACAGGATCGTGGAGAACGCGCTGGACTCCTCTCTGAGGAACGAGAGGGCGAGATCACGGGAGCAGGACCCCGAGTGCTGGCTCACAGGGAGGAGCGCGCGTTTGGGCAGAAACAGCAAACTGCCCCCACGGCCCGCTTCTCTCAGAAGCAAAGTCGTGTTTTGTGAGGGATCCAAGACCGAGGGGTCGAGTGTTCACAAGAAAGAAGTTTTAAAGGGAAAAATCTGCTCGAGTAAAGACACGCTGACCTTCAGCCAAGACCAAAGGCACCAAATACAAGAGGCGTCGGCAAACGTGATCAAAGGCATTTTGACGGAGATGCTCAAGGAGCAGCCTCCTCCTCCGCACCCCTCGGGCGGGAGAGCCGGCAAGGACGCCGCAGTCCTCCTCTCCGGGAAGCCTCGAGGGCTGCCGGCTCAGGGCCAGTGGGACCAGCTGTTCTCCGTGGGAGAAGTTAACACGGTGGCTCAGGACATAACAGAGGCCGTGATCCACATCCTCCACGAGGCACTGAACCGCATCCCCGGCACCCCCAAAAGTTCCACCCTACCCGCGAGGCGTCAGACTCCGCGGGGCCGTTCCCACACTCCCGACGTGGCCAAAGAGGCGCCATATAAAAAACCTTTGAACATATGGTTTGACAGTGAGAAGAAAGTGAAGTATTTGTCTTCACTTGACGTAGGCCCTGAAACCCCTTCCCTGTTCGGGTCTGAGGCATGTGAGCCGAAGGCTGTAGATGACATCTCGGGGGACATCATCGACACGGTGTTCAAGAAGCTGAAGGGACTCATTTACCCAAAACTGCACGTGGGCTCCACACCGCCCTGCACAGAGCCGTCCTCGCTGCGCCATCAGCTGAGCGCCTACACAGAAAAGCCAGAGCCCGCGGGAAGCCGACGACAGCAAGCCCCTCCGAGGCAGAGAGTTCTCGGCTGACACTGACGACGCGGATCTCAGCAAGGACACCAAGGCCTCCCCATTGCTGACTTGCATTTGCGAGATGTTGTCAAGCGCACATTCCGACCGGAGCAGCGTCTCCCTCCCTCCCGATGAGCCAAGGCCTTCGGTGGCGTGTGGGCCGGACGGTATTGGCAAACCATCCACGCTTCCAAGTCGGCAGGAGAAACAAGCTTTTTACCAATACTTGGCGACTCCATGTGCCATCCACAGCGACCCCCGTGGAAAAGACCTCAAAGACAAGGGCAAGCTGCAAGTGCTGGACAGCATTGGGGAAACCCTGTACGAGCTGCTGTGCAAGCTCCTGGGCGCCCGCCCGGAGGGCCAGCCGCCCCGAGAGAAGGCGAGTGAGAACCGGGGAGTGGCCACGAAGCTGCAGCCTAGCCTCCAGCTCCTCTCCCAGACCATCCTGGACGGCATCCTCGCGAAGCTGTGCAGGGTCGACGCGGACACCAGCTGCGCGGGTTCTGGGATGACAGCTGCCTCCGAGTGCCCGGATATCGATAACCTATCGTTCAAGTCGATCATTGAGGAAATGGCCAAGTGCACCGACATCATCTCCGGCATCGTGTCCAGGATGCTGCGGGAGAGCAACAGAGAGGAGACGGACAGGGACGCGAAAACCGTTGCTCCCGGGCCTTGCAAAACAAGGAGCACGAGGGAAACGCATCCAAACAGCCTGACGGCCATGGCCACCGACATCCTCAACGGGGTGTTTGCGAAGCTGGAAGGGTTTGCCAGTGGCAACCTAGGAGCCCTGGACCCCATCAGCAAGGGACACAAGACCCGCGCCCAGGTGGACCTGCAGCGCGACGGCGCCAGTGAGGCCGTGGACGCCTGCGAGGAGCTGCTGCGCTCGGCGCTGTACGTGCACGCCAAGAAGGCGTCCGGCACCATCCTGAAGGCCATCCAGACGGAGCTCGGCGGGAGCCCCGGGGACCTGCGGGCCAGCACCAAGAGCCCTTCCCCGGAGAGACAGCTTCTGAAGAACGTGATCAACTTGATTTTAGACGTGGTGTCCCCAGATGTGCTGGACGACCCCGAATCCGAAGAGAGAACCATGGAATCCTGCGGGTACCGGCCGACCTACGGGAACTTCCTGCCCGGAGGGGCCGAGCCAGACCCGTGTCTAGAAGACGCTGCGCCTGCGGAGAAGGAATTCGGAGCCGAGGGAACCCTCCCGAGGGGAGAAACGCAACCCGGTTCTCTGAGGCAGTGGGTTCTGGAAAGGACCCTAAACAAAATCGAAGGGAAACTGAAGGAGCCACAGAAATCTCCCATCGTGCCCATCATCAGGAACATTTTGAACGAGATTTTCCAAGGGGCTCTGGTCAACCAATTAAACGTGCTTTCTCTCTCCTGCCCTCCGCTGGGGGGCGCCCCGCATGAGGTGGGTGGCGAGCCGCTGGCGCCGACGTGGGTCCCCTTCATCGACCAAAGGACGGGCCCCTTGGTGTCCGAGGCCGACGTCACCATCGTGGTGGCTGATGTGGTCACGACTGTGCTGCATAAGCTTTACGCAGCGGCCATGACGCAGAGAAACGCTGGTGAAAACAGGTACAAAACCATCACCTTTTCAGCGAATGTTTCTTTCCACGTCCCCGCCTGCGCGGAAGAGTCCTCAGTCGCTGTGCTGGATGGGAATCCGTGTCCTGTCCCGCCCAGACTCAACGCCAAAGGAAACGTGGCTGAAGACATCATCCAGGAGATACTGACAAACCTAGAAACCTTCGCTACTTACAAAGTAAAATCTCTCTTTTGTCCCCAAATCAAGTTCACGGTCCCAGTGGCTTTCCCTGTGCAGCCAGGTAGGAGCATTTTGAGCAAAGCGTTGTCCGCCAAAGGCCTGTATCCAGATGATGGGTTTTCTCCCTGCTCCGTGGATCATTTTCTGGAAAGTACCAACTCGTGCCAACTTTCTTTAAACAAACTAAACACACATGCAACAGAAGTGGCCAGGAAGATTTTACAAGGCATCAAACACGAGTTAGATAAAGAAAGGGAAAGTCCTTTCTTAACACACAACATCGTGGTTTCTGAAGGGATCGCAAGTCAGATCGTGAACACGGTGTTAGAGATCGTCTCGTCCAGAGGCAAGTTTGACAAACACGATTCCGACGAAGAGCTTCACTCAGGTCTGCAGGAAGGCGTCATTGAGAGGATGTTCAACAGGACTGAGTATCGCAAAGGGCTTCAGTTCCAAATACAGGATGTCATGGAAGGCATCCTGTGCGACATTTATGAAAAAACGCTGCATCAAAACAACCTGGCCTTCGCCACGCCCACGCCGAGAGGCCTGCCCGCCGGGGAACACCCAGCTGCCGACGCCGGGCTGTCCCTGGAGGGTGCCAATGCGATCGTCCCACCACTTTCTGTCCCCAAGTCGGACGTCATGCTGATCTCCAACGACATCGTGGACCTTGTCCTGCATAACCTCAGCTCCGCTGTCACGCTCGGCACAAAACCAGAGCACGCTCCCCCGGGCCGGCTGCCCCTTCCCTCCTGTGACGTGTTCCCACAGATAGGGTGCCAGCTGCCTCCGCTCACGGGCTCACAGAGCAGAGGAGACACAGAGCGTTTTTCATCGTCAAACAATGTGAGGCCCGCGTATGCTGTGGCGAGTCAGATAACTGTGGTAGGGAGGGAAGACCCCACAAGGCCCGCCCCTGACCCCTGTGAGGAAAACGCTCACTTCATCACCAAAACGATCGTCAACCAGCTAGAATCTTTCGCCACCAAAAGAATAGACTCATTAATTACTCTTGCTTCCCAGCCCACAGAGCAGTCCTTTGCTAGCCCTGGCCTGGAGCCCTGTGAGCCCGAGGACAGCGTTTTTCGTGAGCCAAGCCAAAGGGCGTCCAATGTGAACGTCCTGAAACTATCAACGGAAACTGTTCTCAGCCACAAACTTGCAGATCCTGCGTTTCTGAGTTACGGACAAAAACGGGGATCCACCATTCACCTCTCCCAAGCCAGCCTTAAGGAATACGCGGACGTCATCGCCAGTGTCATTCTGAAGCTTATTAAAAACGACTTGGACCTGGAAATCCAAAGGGCATATCTACATCCAAACAATATCTCCTTCCAGGAAAACGTCATTGTGAGTGAGATTGTCAACAACACCTTAAAGGTTTTGAACGCTAAGAGGTCTGTAAATGAAGTTCAGTTTTACACAAAAGACCATCCTGGCGCATTTGCACCGTTAGCTGTACCCAAGGAAATGCTGTTAGGACAAAGAGAGCTGGACCAAAACACCAAGTTATCTCTGTTTTCACAGTACCCATTCGAACAAAACCAGCGGGCAGTGGGGAAGGAAAGCCAGAGCGTTGTTTTGGAGGAAATATTTATGAGAGGTGGGGAATCCAAGCAAAAAGAAAGGGCTGCCTTGCTCGCTCCAGTGAGAGAGGTTTTAAGGAAAGTGCACCAACAAGTAATGAAAACCAAAGGCCACCTGCCTCCATTCAGTGAAGCCCCCCAGGCGGCATCTAGCTCTAAAGCTAAAACATCAGACGTAACGCACAAAACCTTCGTCCAGTCCCACATTAATGGCGTAGCCAACGACATAGTCGAGAGTGTGTTGGGGGAAATGTATGCGGTGGTTGTGACCTCCTTACATGAGAGTCACCAAAAGGAAACCTTCGAAGACAATGGCACCTTCCCTCAGCCACCGCCGTGCGTGGGAGAAGCGAAACAAGCCGGGAGAGGAAGTAATTCCACGGGGTACTTGATGCCACGGGCCTATCCTTCCCCAGGCGACCCAAACACCCCCCTGTTTGAAAGCAGTTTCCAGCAGCACTCGCCGCTGCAGGTGGGGAAGGAGTTGGTCCAAACGGTGCTCGATAAGATCACACAATTTGCCTCAGTTTACCTGGAAGAGGCCCCTGAAAGATGTGCTGATGAGCTGCAACCTCAAAGGCTCCAGAGCCTTAAAGTGAACCTGAAGGGCAGCCTCCAGCCAGGTTTTAAAACAAGTGTAAAAGCAAAGTCAAAAGTGACTTCTCTGCCTAATTTGAAGACAAAGCTGCCCCTGGGCCCTGGTGGTGCTAAGGCCAGAAGCAAGACCAAGGTGGGGACCGGGGAGAGGCCTCCGAAGAGCAGCCAGTCCAAGACCTGCCTGGGGCTGCCGCACACGCTCACCGCCGGGGACGCCAAGGGCAGGCGGGGCGCCAGGCTGCCCGCCGCAGACCTGAGGGCGCACGCCACGTACGTGACCAGCGTGATCCTGGAGACGACCGTGACCGAGTTTGAAAAGGCCACGCAAACGAGAGCCATGGTCAGTGTGAAGGCGCTGCCGTTTGACCAAATCGGGGCAGCAAACAGGATCGTTCGCGCCGTCCTGCAAGGGGTGTGCGCACCGGGCAGCCACAGCCTGGCCGCTCCGAGCACATTCTCGGCTCCGGCCGACCTCAAGCCTTCCGTGGGGCGCCCGGGCGCAGGGGGCTTCGCCGAGACGCAGGCCTGCTTCTACTTGGAAAATGTCTCTTCCCAACTCGAGCAGATCTTTCCCAAGGACGGGATATTTAAAAAAATGTTTGACAAATGGCAGGCAGAAGCAAATGACATGGAAAGTGAAAAATGTAACTTGCTGGTAGTGGCTGAAAATGTTTTGACTGTCATTTCAATGAAATCGAAGGAATTGGAATATTACCTTTCCTTCTTAAATCTGACGCACCCCGAAGACTGGGAAAGCAGGCTCCATCACCGCCTTCAAGGAACGTCAGTGCGAGCGGAGGCCACCAAGGCACAAATCAGTATGTTCTCGAGGGAAATCGTGGAAATGCTCCTTGAGAAACTACAGCTGTGCTTTCTGTCCCAGATACCCGCCCCGGACAGCAAGGAAACTCCAGCACGTAGGAAGGAACACGCCGCTCAGAGCAAACACGGCCTTCCGGCCAAGGACGTCCCCAGCGGTGCGCCCATCTACTACATGGACGCAAAGGACCACATGTCCCTGGGCTCCACCAAGCAGGTTGTCCTCGACATTGTGGAAAGGGTGCTGGGCATCCTGGAGGCGTTTGTAGACCTGCAGTTCAAACACACCTGCAAGTACGAATTTTCCGAAATAGTGAAAATGCCGGCAGAAAACCTGTTTCCGGCCCAGCAGAGGCTGCTAAGCGAAAAGATGCTGCCCGAGCTGCAGTCGCTGAGGAAGCCTGCTGATGACTGCAGGCGCAGTGCTCTGATTCCCAAGGAAAATGTGCAGCACGTTTTTCTGCAGGTCCACTCGTTCCATTCAGAATTGCTTACCTGCGCTGTGTCCATCACCAGCGACATGCTGGGTGTCCTCAAGGACAAGCTGGACAAGGAAATAGGCCACGCGGAGCCGCCGGGCAGCGCGCTGCCGGAGAACGTGGCGGCGAGCGAGATCATCGGGGCGCTGATGGACCAGTGCACGCACGTCAGCGAGTCTCTGATCAGAAACCTCCCCAGTCTGTTCCCAGGAGTGGAAAACACCTACATTGTTAATCATCTTGCCTTCGCCACTGATATGAAAATCCCCAAGTCAAAGGAAGTTCATTTTGGGAACGGGCCTCCTCCACGGGTTCGCATTCCTGGTTTGGTGTTTGATCCTGAAGACGACACGAAGAAAAGGTGCAGGGGCCCACCCAACGTAGCTTCCTATGCCAGAGCCCCCGGGGAAGGCCCAGGCAGAAGCTCAGAGCCCAGGGAAAGGCCTGACTCAGGGAATGCGCCATCCTCCTCTAGAAACCAGGGCCCAGACCACGGCCCCAGGGAATGGTCATTTGATCAAGCCACGCCCGAAGGCAGTATCTTACAAAAACTGACTAAACGGGTGACTGAGTCCACAGAAGAAGCATTGAAGCAAGGCCTGTCCTTCATAGAAATGCGAAAAGCTAAAAACCCAAAAGTGTTTCATTATGGGACCCCAAAGCCCGTTGGTGGGCCTAACCAAACTCAGACAACTGTTTCTCCACTCAAGATATGTTTAGCGGCAGAAAATATTGTCAATACTGTGTTGTCAAGCTATGGGTTTCCTAGTCAACCACCCATTAACGAAAGCACAGAGAGGATGAAACCATTTTTCACGTCCACACCAAGCCCTGCAGGACAAAAGGGGGAGAAGAAAAGTGTGTCCGCCACGTGGGGTGACAGGACCCGCTGCGTCCCCAGGGGAAGAAGCAAAAACCCAGAAGCCAGCAGGGGAGACTTTTCTTTATTGCAAAAGTGGGAGAAGAGCGACCCAAAGGTAAAGGCTGTGAAAGAATCTGAAGTCATTGCTTTCGCTGATCATGAGCTGGGTCCAAATGAAATCAATTTGGTAGCAAGACATGTAACCACATGTGTGGTCACATATTTCCAGAACTTCAAAACCAGAGGTAAGCGAAAAAGAGAACTTCCTTTACAGGTTGACATAATTTAGAAAAAGAACAGTCAGATATGTTTAAAGGTCTCTAGAGCAGTGACGGCGAACCTTTTGAGCTCGGCGTGTCAGCATTTTGAAAAACCCTAACTTCACTCTGGGGCCGTGTCACATATAGAAATTTTTTGATATTTGCAACCATAGGAAAACAAAGACTCATATTTTTGATATTTATTTAATATATTTAAATGCCATTTAGCAAAGAAAAATCAACCAAAAAAATGAGTTCACGTGTCACCTCTGACATGCGTGTCATAGGTTTGCCCTCACTGCTCTAGACGGAGCTGCATGGGCCATCTTTCTGAAAACAGCCTGGAGATGGGGACTTGGTACTTCTTACTGTGTCAGGACCCTGACAAAGAGTCGAGCATTCACATGGTTGGAACCTGAAAAGGTGTGGTGTTCAGTTTCCCGCATCCTAGATGAGAGATAATGGGACTATGTGAGAGCCGGCGGAGCACAAGGCATGAGCTCCAAAGAGTTTTTAAGATTCTCGTGCATGCCTTCTTCATGCCAAAGCCACAGTTAGCGGATTGCAGGTTAGCAACTCATCTTTTCATGGTGTACAGTTGACGTCTTTGCCATTATTAGTCACAGTTTGTGAGAGCAGTGGCATTCAACATCTGGGGTTTTTTTGTGTGTGTTTAATATATCTTTATTGATTTTAGAGAGGAAGGGAGAGGGAGCGAGAGATAGAAACGTCAATGATGAGTGAGAATCACTGATCGGCTGCCTCCTGCAAGCCCCACACTGGGGATCCAGCCTGCAACCCAGGCATGTTTTCTGACCAGGAATCGAACCACGACCTCCTGATTCATAGGTTGATGCTCAACCACTGAGCCACACCCGCTTGGCTAAACACCTGGTTTTGTTTGCATTGCAGTATTCTTAAATTCCTTTTAGGTGAAGTACTATAAACATATTCTTACAAAGGTATTTTCACTCCCTTTCTAATGTTAGGTTGAACCACATGTAGTAGCCATTCTTGCATGTCCAAACCTGTTGATTATTGGCAATTTCATAAAATGGAATCTAATAATACTGTAATAGCTCTGAACTGGATCAATAATTCTAGTTACCAGGAAGCTACATCGCCAGTCCAGATACATCACTTGCCCGACATTCAAATATGAGAGCACATACTACCAGACCCGCCACCTGCAGGCAGAGATCATTCTCCGGCCTTTCTTCTGAGGTGCGCAGTGTGTAACTGCAGCTTCAGGCTCCTAAACGGCCTGTCCCCGAGCAGGGCCTGACCGAACTTAATAAAGGAAAACAAAGCAACAGAAGCAGATAGAGGACTCCATCCCGTTGGTGCCTGGTGCCTCCCAGGGAACGCACTCACGGTCCTTCTTTCATGTGGAATATTCCTTCCTCGCTCCCTCCATCTCCACAGGGGACCCGCTTTCAAGCAGTCAAAGCTCAGCTAAACCCCTCCCACCTCCAGAGACCTGCCTCCTCCCACACCTGGGGGGTAGACAGGGGACTGTGTCCTGAGGGAGCTCTGAGAACCAAGGCTGGCGCTCTGACCAGCCCTCCAAGAAGCTGGCCACCCCAACCAGGTGTATGGTTTGCAGTAAATATCTTGTTGAGTGGGAGGAAGAAGGGACTCCTACGCCTGGCTGGGTTGGCCTTCTGTTTTTGTGACAACCTACAACCCAGGGGTTAGAAAACTACTGCCATGGCCACAGAGCCCCACACCTCTGCAGTGAGCACAATCCTACTTCATTGTGTTCTTATGCCCACTCAACTCCTTAGTTTCCTGAGTGACACACAACAGACCACGAAATGTTGTGACTCAAAACATGTCCTCAGTAATCATATGAGGCCCCCATATAACACTGTGCACATGCTAGGATGTAAAACTCAACTCGAAACTCATTTTTCTGCCCTAGAATTTCCAACTTCTTAAAGCCCGTAACTATCTAAGCAAGTAAGAAATCAACACTTGACTTAGAATTTTAATTCTTCGTGGTTAATTTTCTCAACTTTCTGGCTAAAATTATGATTCCACAAGGTGTGAAATAAGTATCAGAAGAAAACCCAATTTTTTCTTGACTAAATTTTTCTTTTTCTTTAGTGAAGTGTTCCAAAGGTGAAATTCATATGTAAATAATTACCGATACATTGAATTTTCCGTATTTCTCTTAATGCATGCTACAAATTATGTTTTCTTTTTGAAGTGTCCAGTGAGAAGAGGTCTATTGTTTCTGCACTGTCAAAGAAAACATACGAGTCAGAACAGCGTCTAAGAAGCATATATAATGATTCTTCGCTTTGCCAACTTTGTGAACATCTCACTGAGTCTGTCATTTGCCATTTAATTTCGAGCATTTCTGATGGCATCCGAGGTGGCAGAGAAAGTGCGAAGGCATGGGAAAGCCAAAATTCAGGATGTAACAAGATTATTTCTATTGATTCTCAAGTATTTGAAAACAGGTCGATTTCTATTGGAGAACTTGCTTTAAGTATTTCTGAAATCATTACTAAAATCCTTTGCAATAGTAACATTATAGAGCCTGACATTGCACAGCAAATGTTTTCTTTAAAAACAAAGTACATTTATTGCCCAGGAGTCACTGCTACTGACTTTGACCATATTTTCCAGGATCTCTTAATAGGAGTGATTCACGTACTGTCCAAAGTGATAGGAATAACTCATCACCTTGAAAGCAATGGAAGAAGTAAACCATTGTCCATGCTTAGAAGCAATAGTGTGTCCATGGGCAACAAAACAAACACCATGAAAAGACAGATAAGTTGCAGAAACTGGGAATCATCTACTCACCCAGATGAACGTCCCATTCAAAATGAGAAATTAAACTATCTGGCACACAAGTTAGACAGTATCGTCAGTAGCCTGAAAACGCGTGAGTCCAAAGAGGTGGTCAATAAGGTCTTCAATATTGTTTTAGATTTATTTTTACCAGATGAACGCAGAGGTGAGGCTGTGGATTCTCATGAAAAAGCAAGAAAACCTTTATCGTCCTCAAGTAATAACTTAGGGCTCACCCCCAAATCCGTTTTTCTTCTCAATGTCGTGTGTGAGAAACTTATCAGAACGCTTTTGGAAAAATGCACCAACACTGCCTTTCTCGATCACGGCCCTCTTTCTGATGAAATGTCTGCAGAAGAATGTCAGCTTTTAAAAATGCTTCAAAGTGTAGAAGACGAGGGCTTTGGTGACTGTAAGGGGGCAATGGGCTGTGAACAGTCCCAAGGAGATTATATGTCAGATCTTTTGGAAAATCTGGCAGAAATGGATACAGATGTGTCGCCATCGGACTCTATGCTCACCCTCGTTTCCCACACCTTGGTGAAGTCCCTGATGGACAAACTCTGTCACAATACTGAGCTCCCTCACAGCCCGCCCAGTGCAAGCCAGCACCTGAAGGGTAGAACACAAGAAAGACAGTCGGGTCTTATAAAAGCAAAAAGGCCAGAATTAGCAGGATTCAGACAAGGTAAAGGTTCTGCCGGCTTCACCAGCTGTGACAGTCGCGCCCTGACCAGATCCCTGAATCTCTCCAGCAAGGTCCGCTCCAAAACCCAGGCACCGTTTGGCAGGAAGTGTTCAGTAAGCTCCTCTTCTGTGACACCTCGCAGGAGGCAGGAAACAGCCATCCATAGCAAGCTACACCTGGGGAGTAGGAGCACCGGTGTTTATTCGGCCACATTTTTGGAGGAAATCATTTCAGAACTGTTTTTCGATCTCTCCACTTCCCTGTGGGGCAAAAATGAAAGCATCACGGAGGCCCAGCTCAGTGAGATGAACACACTGCTTGTCCACAACGTGGTGCGGGAGTTTGCGCGCGCGCAGATCGCTGTTCTGCGGAATGTGGAGGAGAGGCTGTGCTTCCCGCCAGTCCAAAAGGAAAGGGTACGTAGGGTTGTTGACTCGGTTTACCCCGACGTTTTGCAGAAATATCAATTGAAGGTGACCTGTGGTGTGAATCTGGCGCATGACAACTCCTCACTAGCAGGACAAATAGCGAACGGCATACTGTTAGAGATCGTGGACTACCAACTCCCACCCTGCTTCCGGGAGAAGCTCAGCCCGACCTCCTGCTGCCCCCTTGAAGCGGAAATCATCCTGCAGAAACTACAAAGGGCCCTGAGAGAATGCGCTTCCAGATCCAGGTCTGCGGGAGGCTACAGCACCAGGGTGTCGCACTCCTTTCTAGAGGATATCATCAGGAGGCTTCTCGCCCAACTCACTGCTCCACCCAGTAGGGCTTCCTCTCTGGGGAGAAAAGAGTTCATGAGTTCAGACTTCAGTGAAATGTCTAACTGTATCATAAATAAGGTTCTATCAGCCATTTCAAAACACAAAATTTGGCTCACTATATGTGACAATCCACAGCTATGTGCAGGGAAAAACACCCAGAAGATGGTGGATTCTGTGTATCGGAACATTATGCAAATGCCTGATTCTCTCATCTCAATCCAGAACAGCCTGGTGAGCCGAAGCCCAGTTATGGTGGACCGAATAGCCAGTTTTATTATCCAAGAGATTATTGAAAACCATCTTCAACCATTTTTGTGTGAAGAAGGTTTGCACCGTCCAAATACTCCACTGGATGCAGTATCGAACATGGTTAAACGGGTCCTCAGTGAGGTCACAGAGTCGCACAGGCCCAAGAGGCCCTCCCCCTCAGGTGTTCGCCCTGACACATTCATAGGGGAAATTGTGGCCAGACTTGTATCAAAGATATTCAGCTCCAAGCAGAACACTGACAATGAGCTGGAAAACATGACACAAAAAATAGTGAACTCGATAACCACCCACTTCAACAAACCTACAACTCACATCCTCAGTGGCGGCAAGAAGGGCGCCTGCCCCTCCGTAGGCACAGACATGGTGGATGAGCTCGTGTCCTCTGTTTACAGAAACGTGTTACAGCAGCACGGGCTAGACCCTGAGGCTGACAGGAAGTCTGAAGACAGCGAGACTTTTGTGGAAAACATCACCAATTTAACTGTAGCGGCCATTTCTGATTACCTTCTTCACCCGCTGTTCTCTGGCGATTTGTCATCTTCCTGTTCTATTTCCACAGCTGAGAACATCATCCAGGACATCATTAGTAACATCAGCAAACCCACCATGCCAAGCCCGAGTTTATCTCCATATAATACCTTGCTGCCATACACGCTTTTAGAAGACATGATCAGAGTACTATTATCTAGAATCTTTTCTTCTGCATCCGACTTTGTTCCAAACACAGAAACTCTAAAAGACAGGTCAAGAGTGAATTTCAATGAAATTGCTTCAAATATAATCAGTGATATTAGGATGAAAATTTCTCAACATGACATCCAGTTCTCAAAAGATGATGAAGAAACCAAGTTTGTTTATTCAGAAGATGATGTCCAGCACCTTGTGGACTCCGTTTTCGAAAACATTTTACAAAATTCCGAGTCTCAGGAATCGGTTGAACAA